TTGGAGAGGACATTCCTGATCAACACTGTAAGTAGCTCCAAGGCCCGAGTGTTGGTCTCAGACTGCATCACCCATGGGGGGCTGCTCCTTTGGGGCTCCCCTCACGTGCTGTTCTAGCTGCTGCTGCTTTGGGTCATGGAGGCATCATCTCATGGATATGAGATGAGTTGGCATTCCTAAGTCAAGGCTGATGGCACTCAGACACCAACCATGTGCCAGACACTGTTCTGGGCTCAGGGGCACAGCAAAGACAAGGCAGATGAGGTCCTTGTCCTCCTGGTACTTGCCTTTAATGGGAGGCAAAGGCAACAGGTAAGTGCAAGAGATACTTTCAGTTACTGGTGAGTGCCGTATAGGTAGTAATGAGACCCATAGAAACGTCAGCACGGGAGCAGCTCCTTTCAATTGGGTGGCCAGGCAAGGTCTCTTTAAACAGGTGACAGCTGAGCTGAGACCAAGTACTGAGGGGCAGCTGGTGAAAGATCCTTTGAGAGGACATTCCGGGCACAGGAGCTAGTGTATGCAAAGGCCCAGAGATGAGAGAGAGCCAGGCGTAGTTAAAGAGCAAGAAGACAGAAGCTGGAGCATAGAGAGAGGAGGGGAGTGTAGCCAGAACGGTGGGACACTGACGAGGCCCGGTTGGGTCTCCCCCACGGTGGCTTCCAGGTTATGTTGTCTCTTCTTCCCATATCACAGATCTCAAAGCTCCCCAAAAAGCTGCATACGGATGTGGTGGAAAACGGTGGAAACTTCTCTGTGGGGCAGAGGCAGCTGCTCTGCATTGCTCGGGCTCTGCTTCGCAACTCCAAGGTGAGGCCGCCACTTCTGCATGGCCAGGGGAAGCCACAGACTAGGGAAGCCACACGGCTCCTCCCACCACTTACCGCGGGACACCGGGCTCTGAGCTGTACGTTTTGTCAGTAACAACAAAATCCAAAGGGCTTACTCATTTCACTGAGTGCCATTTCAGACGCGTTTGTGGTGTGGGTGAGGCATGGTAGGTGAGATTCACAGCCTGGGCTGCCTGATAGCCGGATTCCTTACACCTGAGCTGAAATGGTGGTCAACTCAACCGAATGATGATTCTCCTTTCCCAGAAAAACACAGCACATTAGACACTTGTTGATTTTATAATTGCCTGCTGCACACTCTTTTAAAAACTTGGATGCAGGAAATCCCTTTTATCTTTATTGGAATTGGGAATTGGATGACAGATGGGGATCCAGGGCAAAATTGCATATGTTAAAAAATATTACTTTAAGTTCTGGGATATATGTGCAGAACGTGCAGGTTTATTACCCAGGTATACATGTGCCATGGTGGTTTGCTGCACCTATCAACCCATCATCTAGGTTTCAAGACCCACATGCATTAGGTATTTGTCCTAATGCTCTCCCTCCTCTAGCCCCCACCCCCGACAGGCCCCAGTGTGTGATGTTCCCCTCCCTGTGTCCATGTGTTCTCATTGTTCAACTCCCACTTGTGAGTGAGAACATGCAGCATTTGGTTTTCTGTTCCTGTGTTAGTTTGCTGAGAATGATGGCTTCCAGCTTCATCCATGTCCCTGAAAAGGACACAAACTCATTCTTTTTTATGGCCGCAAAATTCCATATTTTAAAAAATTTCGTGGAACAGTGCTTCTAGAAGTTTTCTAGATATTTTGTCCATAATTTCAGGTGTTTGAGTACGTGGAATAGCTTGGGGCAAAATTTCTACGTAGGTGAGGAAGACACATGTGCACCCACGTACTTATGCATGCATACGTACACACCTCCATACTCACATGTGTACACACACACACCCATCATGGTTAATGAATGATAAATGCAAGAACTATTGGTGCAAACTGTCAGAGCTGTGGGAAAAGAGCTCAGTGGGACCCAAAGCATGGGGAAAATTTCAGACGAGTTAGGACTTTCCCCCTCTTCTCAGGAGACATGAACAACAGAATTTGTAATGTGCGTGGACTACTTTCTTCACTTCACACTTCCTTATTTCAATTATATAGCTATTTGGTGCTGCAATGCCTTCCACTGTATTGCTTCCCAAATTTGAGTCACGACTTTATGATTTTTGTCATCCCATTTTTGTACCGCCTACCCTGTGATTTGCTAATGATACTCTCTTTTCAAAAACAGCCTCATCCTGAGCAGCAACATTTGTGAGATCACACTTGTGGTGCAAGTTACAGTTTCCACATGCATATTGTTAATGAAATAAATACAGAAATGTTAAAGTAAAAGGAGTGTTTATCCATATGCTGGAGAAACCATCTCCTGTGCCTCCTGGGTGTGTGCCTTCCCCCTGCTTGGAGAACACTGCTCTACTTTAGGTCAATGTGAAAGTTGTTCATAAAACAAGAAGTTGCCACTGGGCCATTTTCATTTCCAAGAACTTAATTCTCTGGCCACTAAAATGGAGTCAGCTCCTGGCTGAGACCTAACGTTCTCTTCATAAGGTAATGGATACCGAGCAATCAGAGTGGGCTTTGCTCTCCACACAATTCTCCCATTTTCCAGCTAAGGAAATGGAGACCTGGAGAGGAAGGGCCCTGGTGAATTATCGGTAGAACCAGGGCTAGACCCAGGTCTCTGGGGTCCAAAGTGGACGCCCTCATCCCTGTTTTGTATTCATCAGATCATCCTCATCGATGAAGCCACAGCTTCCATTGACACGGAGACTGACACCCTGATCCAGCGCACAATCCGCGAAGCCTTCCAGGGCTGCACTGTGCTGGTCATTGCCCACCGTCTCACCACCGTGCTGAACTGTGACCACATCCTGGTCATGGGGGACGGGAAGGTGAGGGCTGCGTCCCTGGGCTGGTGGGAGGATGGGTGCTCAGGCTGGCACCCCGGATGCCTTTGAGTCCTCCAAGCACACAGGCTCAGCTGTATCCCGACCCTCCTCTTGCCTTTCTCCACCCTCCAGGTGGTAGAGTTTGATCGGCCGGAGGTCCTGCAGAACAAGCCTGGGTCATTTTTTGCAGCCCTTGTTGCCACAGCCACTGCTCACTGAGATCAGGAGACATGGAGACTTCATGGAGGCTGGTGGCTGAGCTCAGAGGGTCACCCACGTGCAGCTTTGAGGCCTGTAGTCTGTGGCCTTCTCATCTGGAGACGAGAACGTCCCCTGAAGCAGGCTGAATGTGGGGGGTTGGTGGATGAAAACTCTGGAACAGGCTACTCGATGGGTCTTAAAACCTTAGAACCCCAGCACCGTTTGAGACACGGGATCCAGTGATCACATTGGTCTTCTTTTGTATGTTGAATAATTTTATAATAAGGTAAAAGCTTATAGTTTTCTGATCTGTGTTAGACGTGTTCAAATGCTGTATTGTCTTTGTAAAAAATAAAATCAAGGAAAAATCACTTTCTTTGTTCTTTCTTTCTTTCTCTTTCTTTTCTTTTCTGCTTTTTTTTTTTTTTT